GCTAATAGCTCAAAAAACGAAAAGAATTTCTTAACAGTTGTTGAACAAAAAGTGATCAAAATCTTTAGAACTTTAAGATGATATGAAGAAAAAGGGCTGATTCCTAAAATTAAGGGCCGTTAGGGGCCAAAAGCCGATTTTTAAAGTCTTTAATGTTCAATGTCTTTTTACACACACAGATTGTGGTAAATCATTATTTTTGAATGAAAATCTCAATCAAAATCTTTTCTCATCTTATCAAGAATTGGACGGAAGACCCACTCGTTTCTCGCAACGAGATCGTATCTAGTTATTATTCTTTTTTTCTGCACAAATTTTGTGCAGACGATTTCTCAGAGATCTTTGGATCGATTTGTTTCAAATTTTCAGGGTTGGTGCAAAATTATCTGAAGTTAATTCCGGCTTCAGGATTTTTTAAAAATCACTTCCGGTCTAGAGTTATCGCCCTTTTCTTAAAATTCAACCGACCTCCGTGTCTTTGATAGAGCTCAATAACGGCTTAAGCTAGAGCGCTGAAATTTTCAGTGATAATAGAGGACATGTTGCCATGTTGCACCTGGGTCAGGATATTTTCCGGAAGTGTCTAGTATGGAAGCTCCGTAGGGGTCAAAATTTAGGACACGAATCATGACTGATTTTTTAAGACATTTTGCATCATATCTTTTGAATCATAATTATTTTGTTAAAACATACTGAACAAAATTTATGCAGAATAACAAGATCTTTAATATAATACCATAAAAGAAGTGCTGACTTATCACATTAAGGGCCAAAAGGGGCTAAAAGTCTTTTTTCGATAACTCTTTAACAGTCAATATTTTGTTATACATTACTGAAGCAAAAATGTTTATCCTTACATTCTACAACTGTATTTTATGATTTTAATATCGTATGATACATAATTAGGGGTCAAAAGGGGCCAGAATACTAAATCTTTTAGGCTTTATATCTCGAAAGTGATAAATATTTTGACAAGTGATATTGAACAAAAGATGTTCAAAATCATGTTCTTAACAATATGCATTCTTTCATTTTTCGCTAAACGTCCCCATTAGGGAGTTGAAGAGTTGGCCCCTAAATATTTCTTTTACGAATAACTCGAAAACGAAAAAGAATCTCTGAATAGTTGTTGAACAAAAAGTGTTCAAAATTCTAAGAGCTTTGGGATGAAATCCAGAAAAAGGGGCTGGGCACTCAAATTAAGGGACAAGAGGGGCTAAAAGTTTTTTTTCGATAACTCTTTTACAGTCAATATTTTGTTATACATTACTGAAGCAAAAATGTTTATCTCAACAACCTACAACTGTATATTATGATTTTTATGTCGTATATTAGTATTACATAATTAAGGGCTACAAGGGGCCAGAATGGTAAATCGTTGATGCTTTATATCTCGAAAGTGAGAAATATTTTGACAAGTAATATTGAACAAAAGATGTTCAAAATTATCTTCTGAACAATATGCAACCTTTCATTTTTCGCTAAACGTCCCCATTAGGGAGTTGAAGGATTGGCCCCTAAATATTTCTTTGGAAATAACTCAAAAACGAAAAAGAATCTCTGAATAGTTGTTGAACAAAAAGTGTTCAAAATCCTAAGAGCTTCAAAATGAAATCCAGGAAAAGGGGCTGGGTACTCAAATTAGGGGCCAAAAGGGGCTAAAAGTCTTTTTTCGATAACTCTTTAACAGTCAATAATTTGTTATACATTAATGAAGCAAAAATGTTTATCTCAACAATCTACAACTGTATATTATGATTTTTTGTCGTATATAACATAATTAGGGGTTACAAGAGGCCAGAATGCTAAATCGTTGATTCTTTATATCTCGAAAGTGAGAAAGATTTTGACAAGTAATATTGAGTAAAAGATGTTTAAAATCATGTTCTGAACAATATGCAACCTTTCATTTTTCGCTAAACGTCCCCATTAGGGAGTTGAAGGGTTGGCCCCTAAATATTTCTTTTGCGAATAACTCGATAATGAAAAAGAATCTCTGAATAGTTGTTGAACAAAAAGTGTTCATAATTCTAAGAGCTTTAAAATGTTATGAAGAAAAAGGGCTGATCCCTAAGATTAGGGGCCGTGAGGGACCAAAAGTCGATTTATGAAGTCTTTATTGTTCAATGTCTTTCTACCGATTATGGAAAATCATTACTTTAGAATGCAAATCTCATTCAAAATCTTATCTCATCTCATCAAGAATCGAACGGAAGACCCACTCGTTGTTCACAACGAGATCGTATCTAGTTAGGGTCTTTCGTCTCCAACGGAAGACCCTTCTAATATTCTATTGTTTCTTCTTCACTTTTATTAAGGTCTTCCGTCTCCAACGGAAGACCTTCTTGTTATTCATCGGTTTCTTTTTCCCTATTATTATTAAGGTCTTCCGTCTTCAGCGGAAGACCTTACTGTTATTCTTAGGTTTCTTTTCCACTATTTTTATTATTGTTTTTTTTCTTACCGATTTTGTGCACTCGATTTCTCGGAAACGGCTCGATCAATTTTCATGAAACTTTCAGGACTGATGGAACATCAATCAAACCTGATAGATGATTTTTTATTTTTATGACGTCACTTCCGGTTTTGAGATTTCAGCGATTTAGTGATTTTCAGAGGGTCACTTTGTCCAGCAGTTTTCTCAAAAGTGCTTTTAGATAGAAACGTAAGATTTTCAGAGATGATAGAGCAAGATGTGCTTATGTGACACACACCTTTCTTATTCTCCGGAAATGCAGCACCTTGGCGCTCGCTATGGCTCGAAAAAAGACATATCGGGAATTAAGAAATTTTTCACACATTTTTGGCAATATCTTTTTACATGTTAACAATTTGTAAAGACATATAGAACAAAAGTTGTAGAGAATTTCACGATCTTTCGAAATATATAAACGGTAAGGGGCTGGCCGTTATAATAAAGGGCCAAAAGGGGCCAACAGTTTTTCCTTAATATCTCAAAAAGTATTGAGAATTTGTAATACGTGAAAGAAGCAAAGTTGTTCAAAATGACAAGCTTTATCTAATGGAGTCGTTAGAATACGTCCTGCGACGTCACTTCCGGTCAAACCGGAAGTAGTCAAAAATTGCATATTTTTGCTGTTCTTGACAGGTTTATGGGCAACATATGTTACTGGAAGCTTAAATCTTAACTTTCCGTCCGTCGACATCACTTCCGGTAAAACCGGTAAAACCGGAAGGTAGCCAAGAATAGCTTATTTTTGGTTTTAATGGAAAATTGAAATTATAAAGTCACTAGAGACTACTTAGCTCATTGCTTTCTTTTGTTCACGTCACTTCCGGCAAGCATGTGAAATGAAAAATTTATGAGGTCTGGCTTGTACAAACTCATAAAATCATCATTACAGTGTGATAAATATTCCATATTAATTAAAAGAATCTTCTATACACATAATAAAGAATAAGCAATGAAATCTTTATATCCATATTGGCATATTTTATTTGCTTCAGTATACATGTATACATTTAATAATTCTATAAATTCAGTAAGAGGATATGACCCCCCCCCCCCTCCCCGAACTGCGCATGGTTTACTTTTTCCCTAAGCGGGGGACACAAATTCTCTGAATTAGCTTGTTCTTTGGGGTTTCATATATCACGTGTGTACTCCTTCAAGCAAGACCTTTCTTGGGTATGAACAATTATTATACTTCTGTTAAAATGTTTCCTGTATAAAGTTAAGAAGGTAAATTGACTACTTTTTCATAGTCAGAAAATTTCCACGCATAGGAAGCTAAACCCCGGGGTATAGTTTTTGCTATCCACCCCTCAGAAGATTTTCATGCAATTTTTGCCGCCAATTTTGATTTCAAGCGATAAATCAATAGACTCAGAAATTATAATACACATCAGTATAATAAAACGCTTATCCACTGGTTATGGGTGGGGTAGCTCTTTCATCTAAGCCTTGACAGGAATATTCCCCTCGGGCAAGCCCTCAGGGAATATAGTTCCTGTCGCGGGTTGCATAAAAGAGCTATCCCACTCACAAACAGTGGATAACCCTTTGACACTGACCTTGAAATTTGACCTTCTTTTGAAATATCCTAACCCTGTCCATAATTTTGAATGCTTGGTGTTGGGGCTTTCATTTTTCATAAAATGTATGAATGTGACATGACCTCCCCCATATGTCCCTGGGCATGAATAATTTTGACCATTTGTTTTTGATGTTTGGATTACGGTAACCGTATTATGTTGCATGTTAACATGTAGGGACAGATTATGCCACAAAACTTTTGGTACTACGGTTATTCTTTTTCATCAGGTACATGTATACAGAAAAACCTGTTGATATTACAGGTAAACCTGTTAACCGATTTAGAGGACAAGGGCACAATCTTTACTTATGGTTAGCATATTTTTTTTCACTAAAAATATTTTATTTCCATGTTTAAAGGTTAATTTCCTTATTTAAAATGTTGAATTTTCCGATTTATTTAAATAAAGAAATAAATGTTACAATTTGAAAGCCTTACTCTTCATGCCTTAAAGGACCATGGTTCTTAATGATGGTACATTGATTGTCGTGACTGATCAGGTATATACGTATTATTTTTACGTCTTAGATCGCGATCTCTGATCACGATTAAAGACCTTGAAGCAGTTGTCAAATGGGTACATTATCCGTGGAATAACCTGAATAGGGGTGCAACACGGAAGTAGTTTAGAAATCTTTTCTTTTACCGTGAAAGAAATGTTTTCTTTTATTGTTAAATAACCAAGACAGATATGGACCATGCCCTATATTTCATTTTCCATGGTTTAAATATAGCCTTTCCTAAATCTCCAGGGTTTGCCTTACGTATACTGCGACAACATACCGCAACATTTCTTTATCCAGTTCCCTCCGTGACGGCCTGAGGACGTGGTTATAATTAATTAAGCCAACAAGAGGAATAAACATCATTAAATTTTCGACCCCTTTATTTAAAACTGAAAACAAAGTGACGCATTTTGGATCAAAGTGACCATCAACCAGCACGTGTTTTTGGAGGAAAAGCAGCCACCTTGTAAAATGACAAATACCTGCCGCTGCATATTCCTTCTGTGTGTAGTAACTATTGTTGATTCTCAAATTCATACAGCGAAGATGAAAAATCCAGAACTAAAAATGTCCAGTCCGGAGAACAGTCGGTGCTTCGCAGGAACGTGTGCCGGGATTCCGTATGAAAAGATACGGCATTTATATCGGGGTTCGTAAGTTAATTACATTTTAAAATAGTCTGATCTTCCAGTCAAAGAACTTTTCAGATTTTAAAGATAGTGATAAATTCATAAATGATTCTAATACTTACAACCGTCATTAGATTTACTTAGAAAGTGTCAAAGTATACATGTATGTCAAATCAATAAATGCGAATTGACTGGGTTTTTTAACTTGCTCATTTAGATCCTTCAAGAGTCTACACATTTTTTTTTTAAATTTTATATATAATTTACTAAATGTAAATATTTCACACAGGAATATTTTTCACAAAGAATGAGCTGCAAATGAAGCTAAAAGAATTAAACGCCTACACAAGCCGCACCAGTAAGAGTCCCGTATGGCAGAAAAAGTTCAGGAAACCTTACGGCTATTCCTCGCGTTTAAAAAGTTCTAGTAATTATTATTATTCGGGGTATCATGACGGTGACCATTGTTGTCCTACGTAAGTAAATGTAAACATTTCTATTTTTAGTTTATCTTTGAAAGATTATTTACGAATGATTAAAATTAAATGTTGAACGTCACGATTTTTTGTTTTAAATTTAACATTGAATTAAGTGATTAAACGATATGACATATATATTCCTATATGGATCAAGTTCATATATAATTTCCTCTACTTTTTCCATCTTTACTTTTCAGATCTCGTGATTTGATTTTCCCTCCTGTCTTAAATAACACGAAAGGAGTACTTCGTTATATCGTCCATTTCCCCGACAGTCAACCAGACCCCATGTACCAATTCATACCCAGGGGGAGATGTGTGTAAGTAGTCCATCTAGGTTTCTCACGCACCTGTTCAATGCGCGAAAAAAAAAACATTCAAATCTAACGGTATTAAAAAATAGACTGTTAATATTGTTCCTCGCTCTTTGAGGCGAGTGTCAATTTTGATATTTTAACTTTTAAGTTTATATCAGAGATAAAGTTTAACGAATAGGTATTTACCCTTCCGTGTATTTGGATAGAGTAGTTTGTGCAAAGAAAATTAAAGGACCGTTTAAATCCAATATATATTTGAATTTTTTAAAAAAATACACCCTGCCCCTTACGATTTCTTCTTTCTTTTTTTTTTCTTT